TTATTATATAGCGTATGCATAATGCATGAACACAGACAATAGTGCAGTTAAGGCTTGGGGAGGGGGTGGGAGCAGGGTGAAGGGGTCAATGAGGGGGGAAGGGACATCTGTAATACTTTCAACAATAAAGATAAATTTTAAAAAAGAATTAACTATGGAGGTGAAATACTTTACCCTGACAACTACAAAATATCACTGAAATTAAAGAAGACATAAATAAAAGAAAAAACATCTCATGTTCATGGGGTGGAAGACTTAATATTATTAATATAGCAATATTACCTAAACTGATATGCAGATTCAGCACAATCCCCATTAAAATGCCAACGATTATTTTTCTGAAATAGAATAATACATCTTAAAATTCATATGGAATGTTAAGGGACCCCAAAAAAACCAAAATAACCTTGAAAATGAAGAACAATGTAGAAGGACTGATACTTCCTGATTTCAAAACTTACAATAAAACTCTTGTAATCAAAACAGTGTAGTCTTGTTTTAAAGACAGTTATAAAGCCTAATGGAGTAGAATAGACAGCTCCAAAACAAACCTTCACATATATGGTCAAATGATTTTTGACAAGGGTACTAAGACCACTTATGGGAAAAGGTAGTGTTTTCAACAAATGGTTCTGGGAAAACTGGATATCTACATGCAAAGGAATGAAGTTGGACTCTTGAGTTAATATACAAAAATTAACTGGTTCTGGGAAAACTGGATATCTACATGCAAAGGAATGAAGTTGGACTCTTGAGTTAATATACAAAAATTAACTCAAGATATAAGAGCTAAAACTATAAGGAGCTAAAGCTGTTCAGAAGAAAATAGAGAAAAAACTTCATGGAGTTGGCAGTGATTTCTTAAATATGACACCAAAGGCATAGTTTTTAAAAGAAAAAATAGACAAATTAGACTTCTTCAAAATTAAAAAGTTTTGTGTATCAAAAGACACTACCAACAGAGTAAAAAGGCAGTCCACAGAATGGGAAGAAATATTTGTAAATCGTATATCTAATAAGGGATTAATATCTAGAAGAAAAATAAAACTCCTACAACTCAACAATGACTAAAACAAACAACCCAATATAAAAATGGGCAAAGGACTTGAATAGACATTCCTCCAAAGAAAATATACAAATGGCCAGTAAGATACTCAACATCATTAATCATGAGGGAAGTGCAAATCAAAACCACAATGAGACACAACTTCATACCCATTAGGATGGCTATTATAAAAACAACACCAAAAAACAACAAACACAAGTGTTGTCAAGAATGTGGAAAAATTGAATCCGTGTGCATTGTTGTTAGGAATGTAAAATGTTATAGCCACTATGGAAAACAGTATGGTGGTTTCTCAAAAAACTAAAAATAGGATTACCATATGATCTAACAATTCCACTTCTGAGTACAGAAGAACCTCAGTTCTAGAATTTAATTGGCTCCAGAAGGCTGTTCAAGAAGCAATTTGTTTGAAAACCGAATCATTTTTCCCCATTAAAAATAATGTAAATTGAATTAATCTTTTCCTAACCCCCAAATGATTCTCCATTTTAACCTTTCTTATATTCATTACATGTCTAAGGTACTGATTAATCTATAAGTAGACACTTCTTTTCTTAAATTTATTGAACCACCCCCTACCAGCCTTAAACGAATCACTTTTAGCATTCCTTCCAGGGATGTCTTTCAGGTCAGTATGCAGCATCTTTGCTTATTCATATATCACTGCCTCCAAAATGGCTGTCACTGGCTAACTGCTTTCTGTTTATCAAAATCAACAACAGTTTTTCTACCTCTTCAATTGCCTATGATTCTTGTTTCTTCCACACCCTTAGCAACATTAGTGCTCTTTATGGCTCCTTTATGCTTGAAAATTGTGCTAATCAAGATTGCTCCAGTAACAAAAGCATTTTCTCCTTTGTTGCCTGAGGACGCTCTTTGTAATGCTGTGGTATCATCATGAAAGGTTGTCAGGTAGAAAACCAAAGTTTGATTAGACAACTGAGACATTTTTTCTGTGAATGACTTGGTCGAGAACCAAATTGTTCAAGATGGGAGACGTTCAGGAAATGAGGTTTGACTGTATATACTCAAAGAATTGAAAGCAGGATCTTGAAGAGATATTTGTACACTCATGTTTATAGTAGCATTATTCACAACAGACTAAAGGTGGAAGCAAACCAAGTGTCCATTGATTGATGAATAGATAAACATACCACAGAATGTTATTTAGAATAAAAAAGAAGGAAATTTTGATATATGCTAAAACAGGGATGATCCTTGAAGACATTTTAAGAGAAATAAGCCATTCACAAAAATACTGTATGATTGTACTTATATAAGGTACCTAGAGTAGTCGAATTTATAGAGACAGAAAGTAGAGGGTGTTACCAGGGGCTGAAGAGAGGGGGAAATCAGAAATTATTATTTATTTATTTATTTATTTATTTACTTAATAATTAAATCTTTATTGTTCAGATTATTACATTTGTTCCTCTTTTTTCCCCCCATAACTCCCCTCCTCCCAGTTCCCACCCCACCCTCCGCCCTCACTCCCCACCCACTGTCCTCATCCATAGGTGCATGATTTTTGTCCAGTCTCTTCCCGCATTTCCCACACCCCTTCCCCGCCCAAGCATAGTCAGTCCATTCCCTTTCTATGTCCCTGATTCATTATAATCACCAGTTCATTCTGTTCATCAGATTATTTATTCACTTGATTCTTAGATTCACTTGTTGATAGATGCGTATTTGTTGTTCATAATTTGTATCTTTACCTTTTTCTTCTTCTTCCTCTTCTTAAAGGATACCTTTCAGCATTTCATATAATACTGGTTTGGTGGTGATGAACTCCGTTAGCTTTTCCTTATCTGTGAAGCTCTTTATCTGACCTTCAATTCTGAATGATAGCTTTGCTGGATAAAGTACTCTTGGTTGTAGGTTCTTGGTATTCATCACTTTGAATATTTCTTGCCACTCCCTTCTGGCCTGCAAAGTTTCTGTTGAGAAATCAGCTGACAGTCGTATGGGTATTCCCTTGTAGGTAACTGAGTTTCTTTCTCTTGCTGCTGTTAAGATTCTCTCTTTGTCTTTTGCTCTTGGCATTTTAATTACGATGTGTCTTGGTGTGGTCCTCTTTGGATTCCTTTTGTTTGGGGTTCTCTGCGCTTCCTGGACTTGTAAATCTATTTCTTTCACCAAGTAGGGGAAGTTTTCTGCCATTATTTCTTCAAATAGGTCTTCAATATCTTGCTCTCTCTCATTTTCTGGCACCCTTATTATTCTGATGTTGGTACACTTGTAGCTGTCCCAGAGGCTCCTTACACTATCTTCACACTTTCGGATTCTTTTTTCATTTTGCTTTTCCGGTTGGGTGTTTTTTGCTTCCTCGCATTTCAAATCTTTGACTTGATTCTTGCGCTCCTCTGGTCTGCTGTTGGGAGTCTGTATAATATTCTTTATTTCAGTCAGTGTATGCTTACTTTCTAGTTGGTCCTTTATCACACCATCGAGGGTCTCATTAGATTTCCTGTACATCTCATCAAGTTTATCGACAGCCTCTAGAAGCCTCTTGAGAGACCTCAAAAGTGTGGTTTTGAATTCTATATCCAGTAGCCTGCTTTCCTCCGGTTCTGTCCTTTGTGGCCTGTTTCTTTGTCTTGGCATTTTTTTATGCTTCGCTGTGTCGATAGAGTGGCTTTCCGTGTTAAGTGTCCCAATTACCTGAGGTAGACACTCTTGGTGCACCCCCTTGTGGTCTCTGTGAGCAGTCTTGTAGTCAAGCCTTGATTGTTGTAGGTAATTACTACTTGACCTCCAGGCCAACTGGCTGTGAGAATCAGCTGTGTTTGCAGTGGGAGAACTTCTGTCCTCTAGGGAGGTGCTAATCTAGCCTTTGCCTGAGGCTATCCGGCAAATGGCTCTGTGCAGGGCTTGGGCGGGGCGGGTCCCACAGGATCAACAGGGCGGAGGAGGGAGCAGTTATGGCTGCTCTCAGTCCGTCCCCAGGGGCTCTGCCTCTCTGTTCCAGCAACCGCTGCAAACCTCGGACGGACCGAAGCCAGACAGTCCCGCTTCTCCCGTTTGAGTCTGGGTCCCTAGAGACTCGCCCAGATCTGGAGCTCAGAGTCTGAGGCTCCCTCCTGATTGAAAACGACAACCGCGCCCTCAGCCACCAGCCCGCGCCACGCGCACTCCGCACCTTAGTATTTTACTTCAGCACTGCGCCTCCTCTGATTCTCGGTTCCTCCTAGTTGTAGAACTTCCACTCAGCCAGACTTCCTGTGGTTCTGGATGATGTCCGTTCCATCTTTTAGTTGTATTTTTGAAGTGGTTGTTCGAGGCAGCAAACTCCGGCGTTAACCTATGCCGCCATCTTGGTTTCTCCTCAGAAATTATTATTTAATAATAGTTTCAGTCTTGTGAGATGAAAAAGTTCTGGAGGTGGTGATGGTTACACAACAATGTGAATGTACTTAATGCCACTGAACTGTACACTTAAAAAGGGTTAAAATGGTTAATTTTATATTGTGTATATTCTACTACAATTTTTAAAAATAAAATAATTTTAAAAAATAAATTGGAAGTAAAAAAAATATGCTGTAGTAACATCCTACCTAATTGCCTTCTTATTTCCACCCTTGCTGCTCTATAGTCAATCTTATAAGAAGTAAATCAGCCTGCCCAGTGTGGCTCAGTGGTTGAGCATTAACCTGTGAACCAGGAGGTCATGGTTCGGTTCCTGGTCAGGGCACATGACTGGGTTGCCGGGCTAGATCCCCAGGAAGGGGCAGCCGATCCTTGATGTTGCTATCTCTCTCCTTCTCCCTGCCTTTCTCTGAAATAAATAAAAACATATTTGGGGAAAAGAGAAGTAAATCAGAATGTGTCATTCCCCTACTTGGTACTCTGCAATGAGTTCCCAACATACTTTAAAAATAAATCCTTATTCTGGGCTTGCCGATCCGGCGGCCGGGGCTACTGGGCTGGAGCCGGGCGCCCGCAGCGATGGGAAATCCAGTTATCAAAATGACTCCAGAAAAGAGAACCTAACATCCATTAACAATGGGAAATATTGAAAACGTTATCAAAAAGCTACTATTCCTCAAAACACCAGGCCCAGATGGTGTCACAGGTTAAAAAAAATCCTTCATGAAGAAGACAGATCTTAAGCCACATGATGGATTCAGAAGCTCATAAAAAGAGGTCGCCAATCATAACATCTTCAAAACAAGATAAATCACCTCATATTATAGATGTTGGTGAAAGGAAACATTATTTGTGTGGCTGCTGTGCAGCTTTCAGCAACGTAGCGATCACATTCCCCATTCAGAAGGACCTCTTTCGGCAACAACTGTATGGAATCAAAACCAGGGATGCAGTGCTTCAGTTGAGGAGGGATGGATTTCGAAACTTGTATCGCGGAATTATTCCCCCATTAGTGCAGAAGACAACTACACTGGCACTTATGTTTGGTCTGCATGAGGATTTATCTTGCCTTCTCCGTAAGCATATCAGTACCCCAGATTTTGCAACCCATAGCATGGCAGCAATATTTCAGGGACAACAGAAGCAATTTTCACTCCATTGGAAAGAGTTCAGACACTGCTTCAAGACCACAAGCATCATGATAAATTTACAAACACTTACCAGGCTTTCAAGGCACTGAAATGCCATGGAATTGGAGCGTATTATCGAGGCTTGATGCCTGTTCTTTTCCATAATGGGTTCAGCAATGTCCTGTTTTTTGGCCTTCGGGGTCCCATTAAGGAGCACCTGCCTACTGCAACAACTTACAGTGCTCATTTGGTCAATGATTTTATCTGTGGAGGTCTATTGGGTGCCATGTTGGGAATCTTGTTTTTTCCAATTAATGTTGTAAAAACTCGCATGCAGTCTCAGATTGGTGGGGAATTTCAGTCTTTCCCCGAGGTTTTCAAAATAATCTGGTTAGAACGAGACAGGAAACTGACAAATCTTTTCAGAGGTGCCCATCTAAATTACCACCAGTCCCTCATCTCTTGGGGCATAATCAATGCAACTTATGAATTCCTGTTAAAGATTACATGAAAGAAATAATTAAGTGCCATTTACCAACTGACTAGACCTTTAAAGAATAATGTAGTTTGGCCTCGTTCCTAATTGGCCAATATAAGTTGTTGTCGTAAGTTCAGGGCACAATGAATTATGGCAAAGCTATTTTCCTTAAGCACCAACAAATGCAGAATAAAAGGTTTCAATAGAAAAATTTAAGGGTTTTTTTTTTAATTTTTTTTATTGATTTCAGAGAGAGGAAGGGAGAGAGAAACATCAGTGATGAGTAAGAGTCATTGGTTGGCTGCCTCCCGAATATCCACTACTGGGGATCGAGCCCGCAACCTGGGCTTGGGCTCTGACCCAGTATCGATGCTTCACCACTAAACCACAACGGCCGGGCTGTTTTGTTTTGTTCTAATTATTACCTGAGAACTTTGGGCTAATTGCTTGGTTAATAGCTGTCTGTCTATGGATGGCTTTTGCTGAGGAAACTAATAGCCAAGATAGTCTTTTCCCCCAAATCTTTAAACCCTTATTAAAACATAAGTGGCCATGACCAGCCAGAGAAAAGGCTCTTAGGGCCCTTTGAACTCTCAGGCTTACTTTTATTACTCCATTTCTGGCTTCTCTCCTCTTAGGAGGAGTTGCAAAGTGTAGTCTTTGCTAAACTGAAGCATGTACACAAGGAGCAGGACAGAGAAGAAAGCTTAATAGGTGTAAGCTTTTCATGATAAATTGCTTGTATTAGTTTTGAAACAGCACCTGTTGGGATAGTCATTATCCACGCTGTTTCTAGTTAGGCATGCTAGACTCCAGCAGCTAATGAAAGCTCCCATTTGCTTTCTGGATTTGAAAGTTTTCTGTTTAATTCTGAATGTGACCTTAAACCTGTCCAAAATATCCTCATGTTAATTTCACTGCCAAAAGGTGGGGAGACTTAAATTTTGTCATAGGCATTTCATCTTATTAAGTTTCATATTAATTATGTAAAGATCAAACTCTCTTTAGCTCAATTTCTTCGAATTATTGTTGCCAACTTAGCAAATAGCTTTGGGGGTTTTTCCCCCTTTGTGTACTAGTTTGTCTTATTCAAGTATTCTGTTCTCTTGAAACTCCTTTTAGAAAACACTTCCATAAAACTTTATTTTGAAAGTCTATTTAATAGAATTCCATTTCTGGTTTCTCATTGTTTTGTGTGTGTGTGTGGCGGGCGGGGGTGGGGGGGGGGGGGCGGGGACGCTCAGGATAGCTTTCATCCCACAGTGTTAGCTATCTTTTTTTTATTTTAATTTAGTTTTGGAAATAGAGACTTGTATTAGGATTTTTACATTTTGGAAACCCAATTTTACCATTTTATCATTAAAACAATTTGAGAGGATCAGATCTAAATAAAGACATTTGAAGGGTTAATTTTAAATTTCTAGACTGGTAATAGCTGGATAGATTAGTCATCCCTTACCTAACAAAAGCATATTTGTCAAAGGAATCAGCTTTTAAGATGTATTTTCCTGATAAATCAGGCAAAATGATTCATACAACAGTTGAATGATTAGTAAAACATGAAACATCCTAGAAAAGTGGTTTATTTTTTAAAACCTACATCTGTAAATATGTAGTTAAGATTGCTTTCCAGCATCTGACATGGCAGAGTAGTTAGGATTCCTACTACCAGTTTTTCATCAGGCTGGGTAATTGCATATGAAAATGTGCACGTAATGACCAAAATAAAATCAGGGTCTCAATTGGTAGTTTACTCAGTTTCTGGACAGATAGTCCAAAACATGTTTACCTCTACATGCAGTATGGCTGGTCAAATAAAATGAACATCTTTCTTCCAACCAAAAGGATTAGGAAGCATAATCAAGCATTTGTTAGGCAATAATCAAGCTCAGGATGCCAAAACCGGTTTGACTCAGTGGATAGAGTGTCGGCCTGCGGACTGAAAGGTCCCGGGTTCGATTCCGGTCAAGGGCATGTACCTGGGTTGCGGGCACATCCCCAGTAGGAGATGTGCAGGAGGCAGCTGATCGATGTTTCTCTCTCATCGATGTTTCTAACTCTCTATCTCTCTCCCTTCCTCTCTGTAAAGAATCAATAAAATATATTTAAAAAAAAAATAATAATCAAGCTCAGGAGATTTACAACAGCTCTGACAGTGTTGTGCTAAAAATGGCAGTTTACTTGAGCCACCAAGGTGCAGATGTCAGGATTTCAGAAAACTCACCAAATAAATGTGAGTAGCATCCTTTGGCCTATCAAATAGAGTTAAGGGTGAGGATTGGAAGCAGTTCTTTCAGAAATGAATGACATTGGTACTATGGTGCATGACCCCTCATTTGTGTGTGAGCCCCTGAGTACTGCCTGTCTAGGTGCTCAGCATGTGGCAGGTGTATTAGCCTGGGGTCATGCTCTGGCCCTGGGAGTGAACTCCATGGGCCTTTGGTTCCACAGGGCTTGCTTTTGTCTGTACACTCCACGCAGGTGGTAGAAATCTTAAGTTCTAAAGCATTTTTTAAATAAAAGTGAAGTGAGAATATAAAGGAGGACGCTTTGGTTTCTGCTGTCTCAAATATGTGGTATTTACAAACAATAAATATTTTTAATGGTTTTAACTCATATTTTTGGATTTCTTTGTCACCTTTTACAGCTTTTGAAGACCAAACTGCAAATACATTACCAGGGATGGTTCTTTGTTGTCCTGTAAACTTCTTAAATTTGACAAAAAGTTTAACAGAACTTGTAGCCAACAGTTTTGTCTGAACTTGAAAATAAGTCAAATTTATGTCAACAAGTAAGATTCTACCTATTGTTTTTACCTTCAGTTTGAATTAGTACAGTAATTCTGAAAAGGAAAATATGATTAACTATTTGAAAAGCTTTAAAAGTGGCCCTTTCTGTTACATATGTGACACAGACTGCTCATGAGCACGGGGCACTTCTGGTTTTGCCTCCTATATTCATGTCTGATGTTATGGATTCCATATTTAACATACGTAAAGTGGTATGAGCCCTCAGGACTGCACCACAGACTAAACACAACCTCTATATGGTGGGAAATTTGTGTATCTTTTTCATTTGTGTTGGAGACAAAGTTGATGTTGTTTGTCTCAATAGTCAATATTCATCTTATAGTTATATAATCACCTATATATTGTGAACTGTGAGGTAAAACAGAATTGTGTATATATAATTATTCTTGGGAGACCTGAAATTCCCTAGCTCAATTACAGTGGTAATACTCAGTAGGCTGTGCAAACATGTGAGCGAATAATGGGGTGGTAGACAGGATTTGTGAAATGGGATCTGGAGGGCTTCCCAGTAAGCCAATCATGATGACCAACACTGGTTCAGTGTAGATGAAGTATGGAGCATGAGGGGTATGCGGTGAAAATGAAGGTGAGATAGGAGATCATATTTGAAGAAAGACTTGATTTCTTCTAAATTAAAATAATTCTTTGTTTTCTCATGCATATAAATGCATATCAAAGACTTGAACACCTATTCTTACATTTGAGGCTTCTGTTTTTAATGCTGATATTTTTCCCCTTAATATTAAATATTTGCCTAAATGGCTCCCAAATTATGGGGCAATCTCTACAGTACATGTTTCCATTTTTAAAGTTTCATTAAAAGTGGATTAGCACACAAAAAATAAAAATAAAAATAAAAAATAACTAAAAAAAAAATAAATCCTTATTCTGGCCTATAAAGGCCTGACCTGATCAGCTCCTCCTACATATCTGTATAACTTAATCTCTAGCCACCAGGACTTCCCAGTTACTATTCCAGGCACCTGTGCCGGAAAGCCTGCCTCCTCACTCCCTCGCTTCATTCAGGTCTCTGCTTAAATGCTGTCACTTCGGAGAGGTCATAGTTTGTATACACTTCTTAGACTCCTTGGGGTTCTGGCTGGAATGTGGCCACCTCAGAAGTCTGCAGCTGCCTTTGTCCTTGTCCCACCCTTACCTGTCTCACAAACATCAGGAGCCCCAACCTCGGCTGCTGTGTCCTGGTGACACTCAAACCTTCATATATATCCCCACCCCTGCAAACAACTGCCCTTGGTCACCCCTAAAACATAGAGCTACACAAATGGTATGTTCTGATACATCTGGGGAGGAGTCCACACAGCCTCTGGGGACACTTGGTTGGGCAATGCTCAATATCCTGAGCACACTACAGACTGCAATGTGTGTTTCTCTGTGTGTGTGTGTCAGGGTGGGGGGAGTGTCCCCCTAACCATGGTACCCAGGACAGTGGCTCCTCATGCTCAAGTCTATGAGTGGTCTGCCTTCATGACCCCATTCCAACCTCCCTTTCAGGTCACACTGTCTGTTAGTGGCTTTCTTGTTCCTTTCCATGCCCCAGTCAAACTGAATCATTTGTTGATCTCCAAAAATAAAAACCACTATTTTAGAACCTGAGAATAGCATGCAGTGGTAAGGAATTTGGTTGTGTTGGATAAAATATAGTTAATGCTTCCTTGAACATAAACAAGGAAGACTTTGGGTTTTGTTGTTTTTTGTTTGTTTTTGCTGTTTATATAGTTTGTTTGCTGGAACAGTCACCTTAAAAGTCATCATGATATTTGCCTACTGAGCAGTTTAATCTTCCCGCACAGCTAGTTAATGTCACACCAGGGCAAAAACCCAAAACAGGACCTGAAAAGCTACTAACAATCCACAATGCCTTCCCATCCTACCCACTAGCATCCTCTGCTCGCCCAAAGGCCATGGGAAAGACATCCTGGCTCTGGACACACCTAAGTGTCCTTCAACCTGGAAACCACTGATTATAGTGCCCTGTCCCAGCCCTGACTCTGGCCTGGTGCCAAGGGTTGAAACTGTGAATCCTCATCTCCTTCTTCATCCTTTCTGTAGCTCCCACAAGTGACAAAAATCTTGAATCTTGGAAGAAATTAGAATTATGTTTCCCTTGACAGCTCTGGACAGCTGTGAAAATGAAGAGGAAGGAGGACTCTGGAACCATTGTATGAACATCCCATAGCTCTCTGTCAGTGGTGTGGCCAGGACAGTGCAGTAATCTGACCTTCACACTGCAGTACCCTAAATGAGGGCAGGTGGCAACTAAATTCCTTACCATTGCATGCTATTCTGATTTATTCTTATTCTTATTCTTATTCTTATTCTTATTATTCTTCTTGATATATTACAGATATCCTCCATATCCCTCTTACCTGC